ATAATTAAAATTGTAATCCTATATAATAAAGAGGTAATATGCAAATTGACCATCATGCCCTCACACAAGATGACCTTGCAGATGTGGTCATAAGATAGCCACCCCCATGTGGTCACAAGATGGCTGCTCTCATGTCATCATAAGATGGCTGCCACAAGATGGCCAGCAGGCGAGGGCAGTTGTGGTGACCAGGCCAGCGGGGAAAAAGTTAGGCATCGATCAGGCTGTCAGGGGAGTGGTTAGGGCAGTGGTTCTCAATCTGTGGGCCATGACCCCTTTTGGGGTCGAATGACCCTTTCACAGGGGTCATCTAAATACATCCTGCATCTCAGATATTTACATTACAATTCATAACAGTAGCAAAATTACAGTTATGAAGTAGCAACAAAAATAATTTTATGGTTGGGAGAGCACAATATGAGGAACTGTATTAAAGGTTCGCGGCATTAGGAAGGTTGAGAACCTAAGAAAAACAGACCCAAAGGGTGTGGTTTTAAAATCTTTTATATTATAATCAGACACAAAGGGTGTGGTTTTAAAATCCTTTATATTATAATCAGAATTATATAGTTAAACCCTGAAAAGCATCTCAGGCAGGTCTTATTTAGATCCCAATCTCTAGAACCCTGACCCAAAATTGGCCCTATTTCCTCACCATTTGCAATTTTAGAGATGAGAGTTATCTTAGGTAAGACTTTATTTAGAGACTGTTTTGAGGAAACCTGTGTTCTGTATATTATTTGGCAAATATTTGTTGGATAGTAAGCATAGTGATAGAAGCTAATGGCTTAACTGTGAAAAAGTCTCATCCCTTATGTTACTTAAAGTCAAGATAGAGGCACAAACAATGCACAAGCAAGCCAATAGATGAACAATAATAGATTTTAAAACAAGCCATGATCACATGTACCATAAAACAGTTCTATGATTAGAAAGTAACAGTAAGGGATAAGGGGAGGGAGGCAGTCAAGAGTCAGAAGAAATGATTATCCTGGTAATCTAAAATTGGGATTTGAAACGTGAATTCAGGCTTGAAATTAAAAGAATCCATGAGCACTAACTGGTTTGGCTCAATGGATAGAGCATCAGCCCGTGGACTGAAGGGTCCTGGGGTTCGATTCTGGTCAAAGGCACATGCCCAGGTTGTAAGCTTGATCCCCAGTAGGGGGCATGCAGGAAGCAGCCGATCAATGATTCTCTCTCATCATTGATGTTTCTATCTCTCTCCCTCTCCCTTCCTCTCTGAAATCAATAATATATATATAAAATCAATGAAATCACTTAGGTGGAGACTGTAGAAAATTGTTTCAAAGGAAAGTTATTTAGAATTCAAAACTATAAAACTAATCCAAATAGAATTGTTCTTACTGAGGTAGAGGTAGCAGGGAAGGACATTATACCTCCTAAGACCCTCCATGACCCAAGGTAATTAATTCCTTGGCTCTAGAGACAGTTTATAAAAGTGCTAGTGATGGTCAATAACAGAGAATGAGACAGAATTTAGCTCACAGAACCCAGGTGGTCTTGGGAAAATAACATATCTCTGAGCATCATAATCCTCATTAATGACAATTTACAAACACTGTTATCTAAGCATGTTCTATACCAGTTATCTAAGCATGTTCTATACATGCAAGAGTCATGGATTCCTCAATAATAAAAATGTGCTTCTTTTACAATAAGAAAATAACATGATTATCTCGAAGATTAAAAATAACTTTATAGGCAAACAAAAGTTAAATAATCTACACATGGGCATCTCTACACTTCTCTAACTTCTGAGTTGACCTCTATTCTACTTAAGACCCAATAAAATGCTCTTCTTGAAATCCTAGTTTTAAAAGGATTTCTCCATGTGGAGGCTATCTCCTCCCCTTTCTCTTACCTCTTTGTTATTTCTAAGTTCAGGAAAATGATTTTCAAAATTCCTAACTTTATTCTCAACTAAACTGTTTCTCAAAAGCTAGGCTAGACTTCTCTGCCCTGGGCTCCTTTCCTAGCAAGTCTTCCCTTTTCTAGTGGGGACTCTTCTGTGTAGAGCAGTGTTTTCCTTGCAAATTAGCATCCCTGCACAGAAAGTGCTTTTATAAACAGGTTGAAGTACTGGAAGGAAAATGTTGGAAGAGACAGACAACAGTTAACAGCAGGATACTGAAAACAAATTTTCCTTGATTTATCTCTCTTTGTCTACATTTTGAATTTTTTTCTTTGTCCTTAATAACATGAAGTTTATTAGACTTTTTACCACTTATAAATGGGTTTTTGTTATCTAATGATGGATTTGGTACTCAAATTTTTGCCTCTTTTCTCCAAAATCTGAAACGCTCTTATGCCCATGATTATCCTTCAGCATTGCGAATATTTACTCATTTAAAAAATTTATGTATTTTTTCTTTTTTTATTTACATTTAAATTATTTATTGTTTGAAGTATTACATATGTCCCCTCTTTCCCCCATTGATCTCTCCCTGGCCACCCCCACCCCCCTACACATGCCCTTACCTCCCTACTGGCTGTGCCCATTGGTTATCTCATTCCTCTCCTTTTATCGTAGTCTTCATTAACTGGTCTAATTGACGTACTTCAGTACTCTTATAAATACTCTCATGATAGAGAAAGCACTGAAGGTATGGACTTTGAAGTTAGGAGACATACTAGCTCTGTACTAGTTGTTTGATCACCGATGATTCACTGTGTCTAATAAGTCTTATTCTCTCTTATCTGAGCACTGAATGAAGTACATACATAACTCCTAAGTTTAAGTAATACAATTAAACATATAAATCACATTTTATTCAAATGTTATAATAGTTTGAAATGCGTTCTTGAATGAAAAAGAGTACATCTTTAAAAAATACTCCTAATGAAAACAGGAGTTAATCAAGCGAATGATTATGATGTAGATATCATATTGGGCTAGTAGTCATGATACTTAGATTCATAGAGATATTTGGGGGAGTGGTTTTTAAATTATACCAAATAGGAATCTATCTAATCTGATGGGATGACCTGTTTAAGAGATATCAATAATTAGAAAGATGAAATTTAAAATACGTATATTTTGTAAACATGCTAATATAATATAGCATGGGTAGAGAGGGCTCTGGGACCAGACTATCTAGGTTCAAATTCCAGCTCTACCTCATCATAGTTGTGTGATATAGACCAATTCTAAACTCCACTTTATCAGTTTTCTTTTTGATAAAATAGGGATAATTATAAAAATAGTTACATAAACTGATCAATAAAATAAATAATTTATAAGGACTAATATAATTACTATATGTAAAGTGCTCATACTATTTCCTGGAATAGAGGAAGCATGGAGTAGTTGTTTGTAATTATGATTGTATGCCAGGCACTCCTGTTGGTGCTGGGGGTTCTCTGATGAGCCTTGGGGAAGATTGCATTGAGCACATAAACAGGCATGAATTTATAATTACAAATGGTGATTACTCCAAGAAAAACATAGCAGGTGTTATGAAGCACATAACAAAAAGTAATAGAACAAGGGTAAAATTAAGGATTTTAAATGTAAGCATTCTTACTATGGGATAATATTTTGGAATCTAAATAATGATTTATTTTTCCTCAATGTTATAGAGTTTTTTAAAATAAATAATTGAAACTTTATAAATTCTACCATTTATTGTCCTTATATATAATCATTGCATAATTTTCTTGCATATGTGAATATATATATATATCTGCTCAGAGAAGGAATAAACACATTGTCTTCTTTCATAGCCTATCAACTAAGAGTGTGCCAACCTCCACCACCCGTACCTAATGCTGAAATTTTGACAGAAGATGATGAATTTGAAATAGGTAAAGTCCTTTATATTACTTTCAAAGAAAGTACACTGTTAACAGAGGGATTTGCTTCAAAAGAAACAAAAATAAAGAGTAGAAACAGCCTGCCTTAGACGCTCTTTCCTCTATGATGGGGATTGCTTAGCATTCTTAAGAATGGACAGCAGTGGAAAGAGGAAAAGAATTATTAAGCAAGAAGAAGGAATTCTATATTTACAGGATGTACAATTAGAAAACTGTGGGAATTTGAATAATATAGCTGTATACTGTTGCCATAGTAAACTTTTATTATTATCCTATTTATTTTGGTTGAGTAATATAAGAAAATATCAATGACCAATATAAGTCGAATCTTAATATTAAAGCAATAATTATAGATAATTTTACTTGCTTGATACAGTTTTAATGAATACCTTACCTGTACTGACCAGATTATTACTTTATTTCTACTGCTTATATACAACTGGCATGACCAGTACAGTCTCACAGGTAGTTTACTCTTGACTTCAGTTCTGATTGGTCAGTGCCTATGAAGTACTAGTAGTTCAATATTTTGAACATCAGCCCTACTTACTGTTAATAGGATTTTTATACTGATTAAAAATTTTAACAGATGTGTGTATTGCTTTAAAAACATCTGCTAATTTTCATCTTGCTACTCATCTGAAGCCACCCCTGCCTGTTCTTCTATTAACAGGTGATATTATTAGGTACCAGTGTCTTCCAGGATTCTCTTTGGTGGGCAATGCAATTCTCACATGCAGATTAGGAGAGCGGCTCCAGATGGATGGAGCACCTCCAGCTTGTCAAGGTACCAGTTACTATGATTATCGATTCCTAAATATCTATTTTATGTTTAACTCAATACCAGGGATAATTTTAACTATTTAATATTTAACGGGCAGTAATGTTAAAAGCTATACAACTCTGTGGTATTTTTAAAATTCCATTATTTCTCATATTTAATTTTAAACATTTCTTCTTCTTCCAAGTTTTATTTTTTTCTGGTTTATTCCAAAGTCAGTTCAACTTACTTAATTTTTTTTTTCCAAGAGGTGGAAAATACGATAAACCACTTTAAATAAAGGCTCCAATGTTGATTGCCTTAACTTGAAAGTAGTTTCTAATCTAACCACTACATTAATTAAACTTGACTGAGCATCTTTAAAGTATGAGGATCTGAGGAAAAAAACAAAAAATAAAAACACAAGTTATAGATGGTCCCATCTATGGAGGCAACATAGCATAGGGATATGGCAGGGGACTATGGAATCATAGAATGTGTCACTATTCATGCGGCAGTGAAAGCTTGAAGGGGGCATTGCCCTGAGTCATGGGTTCCAAATTACAAGTGAGACTTACTCTGTTACAATAGAGATGGCCCAAGTGACAGATGCACATGTAAAGGCACAGAAGTGAAAAACAGTAGGGTGTGGACTACAGAGAATTCCCTCTGCTACAAGGCAAGACCATGATGGACCTTGAATAATGTGCTAGAGTGTGGGTGCTCAGGAATCATCTATAATTCATTGGATCCAGAAAAGTTTCTGACACATAGTAACCAATTATAACTGTGCGGTTAATTCAAATAAAATTACAATTGAATTTAATTGTCCTTTTCAGATTTTCTTGGGTTATTTTCTTCATTGAGGTTCATTCTGAGGAATGGAAACCTGTTTCCCGGGCACAACATTTCCTGTTACAAGCCTAAAACAAAAGTTGTGTTGATTATATCAAATTTGCTATAAGCAGGAATTAACATTTGATTTTCTATGTCATTGGAGTTCTTACAAGAAGACGGAAGGATTTCCATCAGGGGTTTTTATAGTAGCAAAAAGAAGAACTTGTTTGGAGGTGTAAGCCAGTGCCAGTGTGACCAATTCCACTGCTTTTAGCCAGTGGTTTTAGAACATCTTAACATTGGTAGAATATTTTGAAGTCTACCATGTATATTCCTGATAGTTAGATGTCATTTACGTGGATAGCATTTATTCAACTTCCTTTTTTATGTAGAGTTAATTTGGGGGGTATTTACAATAAATTATTTAGGATTCAGATTCAGATGTTTAGACATGTGAATGGAGAAGACAGATTCTCAGCCTTTTGGGGGATTATGCATGGGAGAATTGCTTGGGCAGACACAGGAAGGTGTAAACAAGCAATTATATACCAGGACATTTTTCTTGACCCTAATATAAACACTGCATTGTGGATGGACTCTTGGAGGAGAACACTTCTTTTTTTATATTTGGATCCAAATTCAATAATCTTTAATAAATAAAATAAAACAATTTGGATAACCTAGATATTTCACAATCCCTCATCTTTTAGACTTCCAACATCTTATTTTTTTAAATATGAATTTCCTATAGATTACTAATTGCACCTCTTTTTAATCTAGCTGCTGTGGAGAATACAAAACAAGACAATACATTTTCATCTCATAATAACATTAGATATTTGCTAACAGTTAATGAATCCTACCTCAGAATGAGTTCATTCTGAGTTACTATGTTAATGAATGGACCAGATTGATAAGCTAAGTAGCTGACTATACATTTTAGTTCGTCTTTACAAGCTTGCTAAAAAGTCAGTTGTTTGGAATATTTTAAAACTAATCTACATTGTTTTTAGTCTATTTTAAATTATTTTATTTTTTCCACTTTTTCTAAATGGGGATGCATTATTATTTTTTTATTCTTCTCTGGATCCACTTTAAGTTTCAATCGCATAGCTAAAATATGGAAAGCGATTCTAAATGTGATACATTTAAAACAGTTTGATATAAATAAAATACAATGGAGGATTTCATTTGGTGGTTAAAAATATGGGTTCCATTCAGTTGAGTCTGTGAGACTTTGTGGACTTTAAACTTTCTGAGTCTCAATTTCCTCATATGAATAATATGGAGAAAAATTGTACACACTTCTTAAAGCTGTTTTGACAAATAAGTGAGATACAACACAAAAGGTGCTTAACAGTATCTAACAGAGTCACAATCAAAAGTATGTATTTACTTTTAATCTTTATGATTATCAGGCTTCTTGCTATATGTTGAAATTGTATGAGAATGGGCTATTTTGTAGATTTTCAATGAATTATGGTGGATCATATCAGTGTTTTGAAAGTAATATGGAATATATACTCAGCTCAGAACATTGGGGCCAAAACCTTACATAGGACAGGACATTTACTTTTCAATAATCATACCCTAGAAAGACAGCCCCCAAAATAAGTAAATAATAGCCATAAAATTGCTAATGCAGTAACAGAAACATACATTACAGAGGCCCCGGGAAGGAAATCTGCAATTCTGCGTGGGTTGATGGAGCGGGTCAGGGATTGTTTCAAAGAGGAGACTTTTCATCTGGGCCTTGAAATGCACTAACACTTCAAATGTGGCAGACAAGAGAATGGCATTGGAAACAGAAACATGAAAGAATGTGCTGAGTTCAAAATAGCTGATTGAGTTAAGGTTTGAGGAGAGAATACACTAAGAAGGGAAGGAAAGGGAAAGGGCGAAGACATAGACAAGAAAGGCAGAGGGGAGAGGGCATAAGAAGATGAGGAAAGGCAAGGAAAGAATGCAAAGAAACAGAAGAAAACAGATGCCTCATCTTTTCATTACTTATTTATTGTCCAGAAAAGTAAAGCATCTTCTATGTAATAAAAAACATGGAAATCAATACCGTAAATTTTAAGGGCCTTCTTCCATTTTGTGAACTGCAAGCTTAATACAAGTTGTTTCTTCTGATACATAATTCAAGGTATTGTCTCCTTTCTAGTATTGAACACGAGCAGCGTATCCAGTATTTAAAGTGCAGTTTTCACATAGGCCTGCACACTGACTTTATTTAATGATATCTTCCTTTGCCAGTGCTCTGTCCCGCCAATGAATTGCGGCTAGATTCCACGGGAGTCATATTGAGCCCTGGGTATCCTGACAGTTACCCAAATCTTCAGATGTGTGCCTGGAGCATTTCCGTGGAAAAGGGATATAATATCAGCATGTTTGTAGAATTCTTCCAGACAGAAAAGGAATTTGATGTTCTTCAGGTGTATGATGGTAACCGTGGTTATATTTATTGGATATTCATAAATTCAGCCCCAATACTGGTATTTATTATACACTCAGACCTTCGGTATAAAAAACTGCTTATATGATTGTATATTATATATATATTTTTAGAGTCTCATCAAATTTGCTTATATACCATATGAAAATTGTACTTAACTTGGTTATTGTTTTACAAATTGCAGATTCTTTAGCTATGAAATTAAAATGTTTAAAATAAACATGTTATATTGTGTGTGGAGCAATTTCATCATATTTAATACTATTCTAAAGATGTAAAATACTAAAGATTAACTGGAACATAATTTTTCAGTTGTATCTAAATTGTTTTATTTTCTTTCCAAAGGACCAAATATTCAAAGTCCCCTGCTTATTTCCCTCAGTGGCGATTATTCATCTGCTTTTAATATAACAAGCAACGGCCATGAGGTATTTCTTCAATGGTCAGCAGATCATGGCAATAACAAAAAAGGCTTCCGGATCAGATATATAGGTATGTGATACATACACATATAACTCCAGTACAGATCTCACCTCCATCCTCAGTATGGTTGTGATTAAAGAGCACAGACACCAACACTGATGAATTAGACATGAACTTAAATCACAGCTTCTTCATTGATGATTCTTGAGCAATTTCTATATCACCCCCCTCTCTCAGTTTCCTCATTACTACTTGGTCATATGATTTTTGAAAAGATTAAATCACTTAGAATATTTGTGTCTTATATAAGTTAATTATAAATTAAACTCTGACACTTTAATGCTTTTTCCCAATAGATTTCTTTCTTTTGAACTCTCACACAACATTAAGAGTGTTGATCAGTTGTGTATATCTAATCTATTTAAGAACTTCTTTAAATGACAAGTTTAAACAAAAGATAAAAATCTTTGTTTTCATTATTATTTACTGATTTGTGATATTTTCTACATATATTAAATATTGAAAGAGAATGATGAACACATGATTTAAAACTTTTTAAAAATACATTTTTCTAGTCATTACTACTTTTCACTCAGTAATATTTATAAAGGTATGAGCTGAAAATACTATCAACATGAGATAGTCTTTTCTAAATGCCTTTCTGCTGATAAGGTCTACTGATACTGAATCAATAATTTTCTTATCAAATAAGTTTATAAATAATTTTCCACTATGTGAAGGTTGTATTCCATTTTTTTGCCATCTTATTCATGTCAGATGCTATGAGTATATGCTCCATAAATTAATACTTCAAAATTAGTCAGTCATCTCTCTGTGTACAGTGTTAAGATACGTTTCCCCAAGTCATGGGTCATTATTAATTAGTTAAACTTTCATAAATATTTTATAAACAATTGTGACATAACAGTTCTAGTCATAGACTTAAATAAGTTTTTAATTTCAGTTCTAAAAATATACTCTCAAATTTTACCCATTAAGATACATTTGCATAAGTAAATAATGTATAATTAAACAATTTTGTCTATCCACTTTGATTTTAAAACCACAT